CCTGTGCTGATTTTCATATCGTACTTTTGGCATCTGCAGTTAAGGAAATTTGCGTGGTTTTGTATCTCTTCTTCACTTTGATGTATTAAACTTTGGTCATCTGCAAAAAAGTAATTCGTTTAAGGCTTTTGGATTTCGATTTGCTTCTTTGATGATCTGATCCATTTAACATGATGAATAAAAGAGAGAATAAGACACAGCCCAAGATTATACTTGGATCCAATTAGTAAGGCCATTTGTCGTTCTCAGAGCGCTTTTACTGTCTGCATTCATTGCTCTTATGTTGTCCAGGAGTTGACCTTAGACCCAATAATCTTCGAGTTCTTTACATAAGTTATTTCCGTTAATACGATCGAATATTTTGTTCTTGATCTCTAAAAACAATATTCAGTTCTTGTTGATATTCAATTACATTCTCACTGCGTTGTCTGCAAATATTGCATCGGTTCAACCTCAGCCTATCCAAAACCAAACTGTGCCTCACTTAAGAATGGTTGAACCTTATATACTGTCCATTGTTCTAGAATTTTTGCGTGCATCTAACCAACATGACTCTATAATTGTTGCAATCTTTCTTACTACTTTTCGTTTTCCAGGTTGGTATCACTACACCTCTTTTGCAACATTTCTCTCCTTTCATGAATCATTAAATATTTCTATCAACCACTTGACTCCTCACATTAAATATTTCTATCAACTACTTGACTCCTCACATTAAATATTTCTGTCAACCACTTGACTCCTCACATTAAATATTTCTATCAACCACTTGACTCCTCACATTAAATATTTCTGTCAACCACTTGACTCCTCACATGCATTTATTGCTTCTGGCGTTATTCTATCGGTTCCCGCAGCTTTGTTCTTGGGGTTGATATTTATTGCCTGTCTTACTTTCTGCTCTAGCATTGATGATTGGTTATGTTCTTTGTCCCTGTTGGATTTAAGAGTTCTTGAAAGTAGTTTCCCCATCTTACTTCGACTTTTGTCTTGTCATACAGTAGTTTACCATTTCTTTTTGTCATTGATGTATTTTGTTTTACCCACCATTTGTCCCAAGTTGAACAAAAAACGCGGCCTGGCTTATTAGTGAATGAATATTTGCTGTAAAATTGTTATCAATGCTATAAGTGTAGCTACAAGTTTGGCCGCCAATTTTGATTTCATTCCTTTAAGTCGCGTGCTCAATCCTCTTTTGGCCGCACCTTTATTTCACACCTAAGGTGTTTGTGATTAGATTAGTTTTACAGTGATGACGTAGACGTACTATCGTACGATAGTTTATGTTGAACAACTATTAGAATGAGTAAATCACCAGATTATCAATAATAGAGAAAAGAGGGTAAACAACTTTAAACATATCAAGATTATTAATCTTTCAGTCTTGGTGTGTGCAAACGTGGTACATGGTACTAATGATGTCGAAACAATACCATTCCGTTCCTACTCATTACAAATATTAATGTTTTAAGATTACTAACGATGATTATCTAGCTACTTTGTGTTGCGATGACGTACTAATTATAATAAAAGATGCAATTCTTTGTAATAGACTGGCCAGTCTTACAATATCATTTATTTTCCTAAAGAAGAAGTTAGTCCATTTAAATAAATCAGTGCCATGTACGTGACTAAGACAAAACTAACATAGTTAACATAGCAATAATGTTAATTCGTTATTTATTCACATTTAAATATTTACGCGGTATGAGCTAATTAGTAAACTTTGTTATTAGTTTTTTAATGTTTCTCGTCAGGTAAAATGTTTACTTTGCGAACGTATTTCATTTCAGTTTGATTCTCTTTGTTATGGATATTTTAGCAAAACTTCTCGAGAACTGTTTGTTTGTAATAAAGCACAAAGATACACAATGGGTTATCTGTGCTCTGCCAACCATGGATATCGAAACCCGGTTTCTAGCGTTGTAAATCCATAGACATGCGCTGTGTCACTGGAGGGCATTCTTGCGAACTACCTAGGCTAGCCGTTCCTAATACGAAAGTTATGGACTAAAGGGAAGGCAGCTAGTCAACAGCACTCTTGACGTAACAGGAAGTTAACCATGTACCCTATAATTCAAAGTCCAACATGCTAACTACTAGATCACGCACGAACTATTGATTTCAGATGGTTACATGGAAAATAATTATTAAAAATAAATTATTTTACACTTCGTTACATTTTTAATAGGAAAAAAAAATACTGAGTTTCTTTGAAGGTTTCTATTTATATTAAAATATTTTAATCAAAATGAAAATATTTTATCGATTCAAGACATACAGAGTGTAATTAAAATACTCCTCACTTGTTTTAAGCTGAACGTCGTGTTCATTTTATTTCTGTTTAGAATATATTGTTCATATGGTTCCCATTAGCTAGAAATATAAACAAACACTTTCTTTTCCCACTATTAATGATGAATTTGTTAAGCCTATATACTTTCAATATCTTCGAACTCTCTCAATGTCGAAATTCATACAAGTTTTTATCCCTTCTGAATGATAAGTTTCAACGTCAAAACTGTCTCATTAGTAAATAAGATATATCCTTACTGCATTAAAGACGGTATCCAGAGTATTTTTCGATAAAACTCATTCCAAAAATTATATTTCAATCCTTTCTAGAATGCCAGTGTTGCATTTATTATGCACTGATTTTATAAAATTGATCTAGACTAAAAAAAGAAAATTATAAAAAGTTTTGGCTGAACATATTAAATTATGCACGATTCCAATGTTAAGAAAAGAAATGTATAATACCTTATCTACTGTACTGAGGTTTGTTCATTCGGAGTAAATCAGAGTAATTTAATTAGAGTGTTTAAGTAAATATTTATCATATTAATCTTAAGTGTGTTTTATCAGAACGTTTTATTGTATTCATACGTTTCACACTGTATCGACTGTAATGAATTTGTTATTATATATTTATTTTAATATCAACATTTGTTTAGATTAAATTTATATTTAGAAACATGCATAGCATATACAGTTAAATATGTATTGCGAAACTCCCGCCT